ATGGAGGATTTTGTGGTGTATTGTGATGCGTCCATATCAGGGCTGGGTGCGGTGCTTATGCAGAAAGAACACATGATAACATGCGCATCGAGGTAGCTGAAGCCTCATGAGACGAGGTACCCCAACCACGATTTGGAGTTGGGGGAAGTAGTGTTCTCCCTCAAGATATGGCACCATTACTCGTATGGGGTTCGATGTACCAGATACACAGACCACAAGAGTTTGAAGTATCTGATGGATCAGCCCAACCTGAATATGCGCCAGAGGAGATGGTTAGATTTGGTAAAGGATTATGATTGTAAGACCCTGTACCACCCGGGCAAGGCTAATGTGGTAGCCGATGCTCTGAGCCGCAGGGTGGAGATTGCTCCGATTTGAGACATATGTATGAGTATGACGGTGATGACTCCGGTATTGGATACCATTCGAGAGGCCCAGGCAGAGGTTGTAAGATCGGAGAACCGCAAGAGAGATCGGGTGATTGGACAGGTATCCGAGTTTGTTACCGATGGTCGAGGGCTTATGACCTTCCATGGTCGGATTTGGGTGCCATTCATGGGCGGGGCACATAGCATACTGATGGAGGAGGCACACAGATCGAGATTTTTGATCCATCCCGGGGCCACTAAGATGTACTTAGATTTGAAGAGAGACTATTGGTGGCCTTGTATGAAGAGGTATGTTGCGTGGGTTGTAGAGAGGTGCTTGACCTGTCGCCAGTTAAGGTCGAGCACCAGTGCTCGCATGACAAGTTGCAGCCACTAGAGGTTCCCTAGTGGAAGTGGGAACAGATTTCTACGGACTTCATCACAAAATTGTTGAGGACCGTGAGGGGTGTTGATGCAATTTGGGTGATTGTGGATCGTCTTACGAAGAGCGCTCACATCCTTGCTATCAGTGAGAGCTCTTCTGCAGAGAGGCTGGCGGAGATATATGTGAGAGAGGTGGTATCTCGGCATGGAGTGCCGATCTCGATCGTGTTGGACCGAGATGTTTGTTTTACTTCCAGGTTCTGGAAGAAGTTTCATGAGGAGTTAGGCACGAGATTGCACTTCAGCACTAATTATCACCCTCAGACGGACGGGCAGAGTGAGCAGAAGATTCAGACGCTCGAGGACATGCTTCGAGCATGCGTTATGGACTTTGAGGGAAGTTGGGGCGCATACCTACCTTTGGCTGAGTTTTCCTACAACAACAGCCACCATTCGAGTATTGGTATGCCTCCTTTTGAGCTGTTATATGGGAGGAGGTGTAGGACCCCTATCTGTTGGGGCAAGGTGGGGAAGCGAGTGATGGGTAGCACCGAGAAAGTGCTTAAGACGACTAAGTAGATACAGCAGGTTACGAAGAGATTGCTGACAGCCCAGAGCCGCCAGAAGAGTTACGCGAATAGGTGGCGATCCGAGCTCGAGTTCCAGGTTGGAGATTTTGTACTTCTGAAAGTTTCCCCATGGAAAGGGGTAATTCGGTTTAGGAAGGGGGCAAGTTGGGGCCTCGATATATTGGGCTTTTAGGGTGATCGCCAGGGTAGGAAAGGTAGCTTACCGTTTAGAGCTACCCACAGAGTTGAGCCATATCCATGATACATTCCACGTATCTCAGTTGAGGAAGTGTATCGCTGATGAAACGGTTGTAGTGCCACTAGAGGATATTCAGGTGGATGCGAGCCTGAACTACATTAAGAGACTGATCGTTATCTTGGATCGTAAGGTTAAGGTATTAAGGAACTAGGAGGTGCCTCTGGTTTAGGTCCAGTGGCAACATCGGAGAGGGTCTAAGTCGGCCCTGGAGCCGGAGTCGGAGATGCGAAAGCAGCATCCAGAGTTGTTTACGGTCGAAGACTTCGAGGGCGAAGTATGATTCTAGTGGGGTAAAATTGAAACATCCAGATTGTTGGGTACGCTAGTTTAATTATTTATTTTGAATTAATTAGAGGGACTCGACGAGTTGGTACCTCAACTAGTTGAGTAGGGTCGCGTTTAGATGTCGAGTTTAATGAACGGACTCGACGAGTCGGGAATCCGACTCGACGAATAGGTGTTGATGAGGAAAACCCTAATTGCCTGGGTTTGGGACCTATTTAAAGGCCCTTATGGCCTTCATTTGCAGCCACACAAACCCCTGTGAAACCCTAATCGCCCTTGAGAGCTTATAGTGAGAAATAGCACCTTTGTGAGCTTCTTGGTGTGTTCTTTGAAAGGAAGGAGAAGAGTTTCAAGGTTTGGAAGCAAGGAGGTCATGGGATTGGCTGTTATTTCACTCCAGACTTTTGTATTAGGTACAAATCTGCACCTAATCTCTTGTATTGGATAGATCTCATGGATTTTGGGTTCTTTACCCTCTTTTGGAGCTAGGATATGAAGATGAGAGGTCCCTTTTCGATTTATACATTAGATCTGGACCTTGATAGGTCAAGCGAGTCCCTTGGGCTTAGCTTTATGTAGTTCCATGAGTGTGTTGAACCTAAAACACCATTAAGGTGGTTATTTCATCAAATAGAGTTTGATGTGTCACGCATGGACATCAAGTTCCGACCTTTACATGACTTTTGAGTGCTAAAAGGCCAGATCTATGGATTAGAGGAACAGATTTGACCTCAGAAGGTCAAATGAGTAATGCCATGGAGGAAACTCGTTGAGTCCATGAGAGAACTTAACGAGTCGGATCGGGTTGCCCCGCTATTCGTGACCAGTGGTAACCCATCGAGTTGGGAGGTTAGCTTGATGAGTCGAGTGAGGTCTTAGAATGATTCAGGGTATACACATGAACTCGCCGAGTCAGCAAGTGCACTCGGCGATTCTGGTCAAATTTGACCATTGACTGGGGTTGACTTCCGAGGACCTTAGGGTTTTGGTCAACTGATTCAAGAGAGGCCATAGAGGGGTAAAATGGTCTTCTACCCATCCTTTAGAGATGAGAACACTAATAGAGTATTGATTTGAGATGTTATCATTTGATAGGAGGATGCTAGACCGAGGATATCAGGCACGAGAGTTACTAGACATCTTACGAGGTGAGTCTTCTCACTATACATTACCTAGAGTGGTATCTATGTACAGAACGGAGGGTCTTATGTGTATATGTATGTTTGTGATTATGTGCAGTGTGTTATATGTATGATATGTGATATATAGATTGGACCAGAGGGTCCAACGACTCATGAGGCCAGAGGGTCCTCGATCAGGCCGGACCCAAGGGTCCAACGAGCTAGACCAGACTAGTGGGTCCAACAAGCTACATGACTGGAGGGTCCCGCTGAGACACATTGACTGGAAGGTCATACCGAGTTATAGCCTCGAGTGGCTTATGTGTTGTACGTGGTATTTTGGGAAACTAACTAATCATTCATGCTTACGGTGTTGTGTGTTATGTGTTTCAGGTACTAGCAAGGATCGCGGGAAGACGACAACGTGATCTGTACACATTGAGAGAGTATTGAGTATTTGAGATTCTAGGTGATGTTGTATTTGAGATACTATTTAATACATTGGGTTCTGAGAATATTTTATGAAATATGTTATGTTGAAAAATGAAAAATTGTTTAAAAAAATTCATGTCGTTACAAGTCTTTAGTTTCACTTTACATGTTTTGTCTTCCAAAATAACTAGGTTGTTCTTCCCAAATGACTAAGTTATTCAAACCATCCACAATCGATAATACGTTGGAAGTAGGTATTAAGACAAGACTGTCATGAAGTTGGTTTGTAAATGTCTAAGGTATTGGACCTAATGAGAGTTGCTACAACATTCATGAGTATTCATAAGTTCCGAGTATTGGATTAAACCCATGCTCATTTGAATCACTTCATGGATTTTATCACGAGTGATCATGAGACGGTAATGTCTTATATCCTTCAAACCTAGAGATATGAGTTGGTTATACATTGATTGCACAAAAACGCATTGGTAACTCGATGATATAAAATGTGCCTTTATGTATGATTCAACGAGTTGTAGAACAAGCATATGAGTCAAAATTTATCCATTCCTTTTACCCTTGGTGGGATAAAAACAATATCTATGGGCCCCTCGATGATTTAGTGATGAAACCCCTAAGTGTTTGGCCAAGCCTGGACTGATTTGATTTGTTCAATTGGTCGCTCGTCATAAATTGAAAATCGAGAAACAACAGATAGACAAACAGAATGATTATAATCACTACTAGAAAAACAGCCTTTTACGACGCTCATTGCGCGTCGTAAAAGGCTCAGACGACGCGCAAATGCGCGTCAAGGAAGACCCTGTCATAAAGAGAGACGACGCGTATTTATGACGCTCATTTAAGACGCGCAATTATGACGCACATTTATGACACGCAATGCGTATCAAGGAAGGCCCTGTCATAAAGGAAGACGACACGCATTGGCGTGTCGTAACATTACGACGCGCGTGTTAATGACACACAATGCGTATCATGAAAGCCCCTATCAAGAAAGGCCATGTCATAAATGAAGACGACATACATTTTTGCGTATCATAATTTTAAATGATTAAAAAAAATTATTATTTTTAGATTTACTAATTTTCGAATTAATAATACATTAAAAATCCCACAATACAAAATAAAATACCATAAATAAAAAAGATAATTCATTTCACTAATATGTCAAATACATATAATTATTCCAAAAGTGAGTAAATGTTATAAAAAATGAACTCATTTATATACAATTGCATCATCTAGCTTACTATGTGCCAACAACTCTCTGTGTGTTTTCTTTTGCTTGAGTCTCGTTTCCTCCAAAGCTTCTAGCCATGCCAAAATATGATATCTTGAGTCTCGTTTCAAGAACCAAAAGAAATAACAAAAGTGCATAATTGATGTATAAATATATTTTATGCCAACTTATGACATGAAAATATGTTAGGGGATTAAGTCGAAGAAACTACCCAGGACCAAAAGAAAGAAGCTAGCTCAAACACCATCTGCATACGGATTGATCATGAGTTATGAAGTTGTGTTATAGCCCTAAAAACAAACACTTTGTGGAAATGAAGAATCAAATGCAATAAATGCCCAACCTTCGATCCATGATAGCTTCAATGTTGTTATTTCTCATTTTCTTTTGTGCCTCCACATCAAAAGGGTCTGCATAAAGTAGCTCCTGTGTTTAAGAGTAACGACCAAACTTTTCTCATATTGTAAAGAAGACGCAACGACCAAACAAAATTGACTTAGTTTAAAAGTAAAGAAAAATGCATGTAGGGCTACGGTAGACTGAGAGAAAATGACTTACTTTAAGAATAAAGTAGCTCCATTCTTGGATCCGATACCACCAGGTACCAACAAAAAATTCAGAGAAACTTTTAAAAATCTATACATAATAGAAGCTTAATCGCACAAGAATAAAATAATCAAATTCAATGATTAACCTATAAATTAGAGAATATGAAAGAAGATAAACGTGGAAAATAAACAAATCAATTTGCCCTAATTCAAAGAAACAAGTAGACTGAGAGAAAATGTTATGTTTATTTCATTTATATTATTCTATAATAACTCCTGTTTATGAAAATAGTTATAAGAAGAATTAGGGAAATTCACATAGATAACTGCTTGGAAAAAAATCCATTATAATATTATAACAAACACTTGGAGTGCAGTAAGACGATAGAACTTACATAGTAGCTTCTTCAAGCATCCATGGAGGGTTTCGTATTAATTAAAATCAGATTACTTTCGAAAAAACAAAAAACATGAAGAGAACAAAGAAGCCCTAAAACAAAATACAAATGATGAATGAAGAGATTTGAGGAGGTGAAGGCAGACATAAAGTGTCCTGTCTCACCCAGTTGTTAGACGCATGCTAGAATCCTAGGGTTGTTTGACAACTCTGAACAATTTCTATTGCAAAACTCCTGTTGTGATATGTATTTCATAGTATAAATCATTAAATAAGTGTTCTCTGCCATTGAAGATTATACTTTGTTGTAGTTTCTTTTGATTTTAAACTTATATTCTTTAAGAGAGAAGGAGAGGAAGGGTGTTAATGGAATAACACAAATTAAAGCTATTTAAAAAAAACCACTTGCCTGGAAGATTATTTGAAAGGAATATCCATATATACCGGCATCTTTCTATCTTGACTTTCTCTGTAAACAAACAGTCAAACAAGATGAAGTGAGAGCTATTATAATGCTTCTACTCAGCATATATATATATATATATATATATATATATATATATATATATATATATATATATATATATATATATATATCCTTGTATGGCTTGCAAAGGAGTTCCAGTCAAACGCAATCTGTGAGAGCTATTATAATGCTTCAACTCAGCATTTAACTTGCAAGAAGCATTTTTTATATGATGCCCTTCATCAATTATAAAATAACGCTAATGTATCTTGCTCAGTTTTGGCTTATCATGCTTCTTATATTATTCTTTTATCCAACTTAGTATATTTTAATTTATCGTACTAAAATTATATTTCTTACCTTCAAGTCCACGTAAGTTTGATGGTTTGCATCATCAAAAGCACGCATTTTAACATCACGCCATCTGCAAATTTTTTACAAAAAAATATTAGAATTGATAATAATAATAATAATAAATAAATTTTTATTTTTTTTTAATGTAAAAAAAAAACATAGACATTCCAGCTCCAAGCAGGGTCTCAACAGCTTCCACAAGCACTTGTACTTCAGACACTGAAAAAGGTCTCCTGGTTCTTCTTTGTGAAAGTTGATATATTTTAATTGAATCTGCCACTTGTTTTCCTTCTTCTTCTTCACTTATTGCATTCACATGTTCTACTTCATTCTTCTCCAACACAGGACTAGGAGGTATCAACAATGGAGTTTCTTTCTGTATAGGATATGAAGATGGAGATGGAGAAGAAGGCTCAGGTAAAGTAGGCTCCAATGTGAATCCTAAAGATTCAAGATTATATTTTTGGGAAATCCCTGTTTGTTCCAAAAGATAGATCCCAAAAACAAAATTCCACTGAACTAAAAAATAAACAGAAAATAACTTGCATTGTTGCTAAGAAACAACCCTCGAAAAGCATATAATTGTCCAAAAAAATATAACTATACCCTCTATACCAAAACAACTAGTCCAACTCAAGAAAGAAAAACAGAATTGGAACCAAAGATCCATAGAAAAATCCAACACAAAACATCTCAAATATTCCAGACCACAAAACTGGGACAAAAACTAGTCAAAAGGGTAAATATGTCCAAATCCCAAAAAAAAATTGAATATAACTTCACAAATCCAGGTAAAACACAAAAAAAAAAAATAACCCTATACTATTACTAACACTTACATTGTTATTTCGACCAATGGAAGCTCCCCAATGGATTCTGCAGAATCAAGTGCATTTTCAACAAGTTCTCTCACGGTATTGTAAAGTGATTTTCCAGGCTGAAACTCAAATACAACATATAATTATAAAATGTTAAATACATAACAACCATAAGGCCAACTAATTACCTTTGATGTTTTATATTATGTGGTAATAGATCACATCATGTAAAGTTATGCTGAATCATTCATAACAAAACAAACAAAACATATACTAGATTACACAATACAACTTTCGTTGTGAAACCCAGCAATGTTCTTATTCTCCGCAAAGAACTCAGCAAGAGAGTCTGAAAAAACCAATGGAGACTCTGAAAGAAACAAAACTTGAAATTAAACTACAATCAACACAATACCATCTCCTGGTATCGAGGTTGAACAAGATAAATACATTTAATTAAAATGAGAAGTGAAAAAGAAAAGAATTATTACTAGTCAATTCTTATGAAAATACCAAATGATGTTGTTATATCCTAATGTTATTAAACATGCCAATATATCTTCCGTTTAATTTACCTGTGATAGAATTGAGCTTACATGGCTATCTGATATATCCTCCATAAATATGTAATATGAAAAAAAAACTTGCATCCATAAGTTTAACCATGATCGGAAGCATATAAAAAAGTATAGTATATTTGGAGCTTGTGAAATCAACTTTACCAAAAGATTCGTTGTTTGCACCCCACCCTAAACTTGAGATGAAGTTAACCATTTGTGGTGGGCACTTCCAGCCTTGAACAACACCAAGCATTTATCATTCATTGGAGATGAAACCATAAACGAAATCAGGACCGGATCAACTGCATAAAGATATAAAAGATAGTTGTAAAACTGGAAGATGTTTGTTTAGGATAAGCAATAATAAGCTTTGAGAAGAGGCACTAACCAGGAAGATAACATAAATGAATCAAGGTGGCAATTCATCAAACAGTTGGTGTGCACAGCCAAAATCTACGTAAAAATAGAATTCCTCTCCATCACAGAACAATCACCAAACATCATATCCTCAACATCCATTTACGAACATGAAGCGCCACCTCACAACCTCACATTCAATTCGAAAAAAAAAAGAAATAACAAGAATGAAGAAGAGGATCTAATCGAAGCAGAAAAGGAAAAATCAATACCTGTAGTTCTTGGAGGTTCGATCGATTTCAAGAAAGGAAATAGATGACCAGTGATTTTAGGTGACCTGGTTTGTCGATCGAAGTTTGAAGAGGGAAAAAGACATCTGATTGATTAAAGGGAAAAGGAAGGTACAAACTTTGGAGGTTGTGACTGTTGATCGATAATTTAGAAAGGAACGATATGTAAGAAGGGTTTGAACATACCCTTTTTACGATCTCTTGTAAGTGTGGGAAGTTGCTGTGAGCTATGAATTATGTGAGGTCCGGTTCAAGCCCTAGTATCTTTATTTATTACGTGAAGATGGGCCATATGCGAAGATAAAAAGATGAAGACGGACCACATATGAAGAATTTTGGGTAAAGATATGGTTAGATCTGATTCAAAGCATATCTATAGGTATCAAAGCGGCCATGGAATTTGCAGAGTTTCATTAATTAGGTCATGGAAAAGAGAAGGGGTTTTTAGCTGGTAGAAGATGAGAATAAGGCGGGGGTTTTAATTTTTTGGGGTTTGATTTCCCCCCTTAGCTATTAAAGATGGAGAAGGCGCGTTTGATGAAAATTTTATAAAGCGACATGCATAGACGATACGTCTTTTATGCTGAGTGCCCTCCGTGTTTTTATTTTTTTTGTTCTGACACTAATTTTAAGGGCACGCAATAATGCGTCACCTAAATCCTTAAATTTTTTGAAGAGATGACACTCTTTTACTGTCACTCTCTTTTGCGTAACATAAATCAGTGAGTGTCATAGTTTACGCGTCGTAAAAGGCTGTTTTTCTAGTAGTGAATCCATGTCACAAACCATATGATATCTAGAATGGAGGAATATATGATCCCTTATCTAATGGACAAGTCATTAACTAGGTCAAAGTTCAACAACGACTTTAAGAGATACGATTGCTAGTCGGGTTTTAGAGTCATACGCAATAATAGTTTTAGACTTATCCAAGTGGGAGACTGTTGGATTAGATGTCTAAGCCCCTAACTATTATTGGTATGTATTCGACCCGACTTGGCATGGTCGATTTGGGTTGCATGGCATCAGAACAATTGGATAGACAAAATGAGAAAAAGGATACTAAGTGATTTACATTAAAATATTATAAGTTCTAATATATTAATATGAAATCATATGATTTAATTAGTATTGATCAAGAATTAATTTAGAATTAATATAGTGATCAAAAGGAACTAATTAAACATGGAATCTTATATATATGGTGGGCCAAGTTCATTTAGGTTGGGCTAAGCTTTCATGGATAGTCCATAGAGTGTTTAACCCATGGATCCTATGGAAATGAAAGGTCATGGGTATTAGGGTTTACATGAATGTAACCCTAATCCTCCACACTATATAAAGAGGTCTATGGTTCATTAAATGGCACTAGTGTGGATACACAAGAAGGCAAAACTGATTTGGTGCAAGTATCCTTATTCTCTAGTTATTCTAAAGGTTCAAGACTTCAAGCTTTATCAAAAGGTATGTCATTCTACTAGATTATTGTATTGTACATACTTCATTGTATGCTAGTTAGGATGAAACCTTGGAATATTGAATATTTGCATGTATAATAGTGAAAACATAGATCCAAGGTTTATAGGGTTGTATGTACACCATAGGAGTGTTAGAATGCTCAAAACCCATCAAATTAAACAAATATGAATATATAATTTCTCTTTTAATATATTATTCTTATAATATATTAATAAATCATAATAACGTCTTTCTATATTATTCATCCAGTCAAGTTGCTTTGGTGAAGGCAACCTAAAAGGACCATGCACAACCGGGTCAAGTACATACCAAATATAGTTATGGACTTAGACACTAATCCAACAAGTTTTGGTTAAGGGAGGCCCAGTTCTTAGGACACCTCGTTAACCAGAATAAGATATTGGTCAACCCTGCCAAGATAAAGATTGTTATGCAGTGGGAGACCCCGAAGTCTCCATCTGAGATCAGGAATTTCTTGGGATTACAGGGTATTATTGAAGATTCATTCAGGATTTATCCAAGGTTGCTATACCTCTCACTTGTCTGACGAGGAAGGATGTGGATTTCCTTCGAGGGCCTGAGCAACAGGCTGCATTCGAGACACTAAGACAAAAGTTATGTGAGGCCCCAGTGTTGACCCTCCTGAGGGTGGTGAGGATTTTGTTGTGTATTATGATGATCCATAACCAGTTTGGGAGCAATGCTTATGCAACGAGGGAGAGTTATTTCGTATGCTTCTAGATAACTAAAGCTGTATGAGGTTTGGTATCCAACACATGATCTACAGTTGGGGGCAGTGGTGTTTTTCCTCAAGATTTGGCGACATTATCTGAATGGGGTCCGATGTACCATTTACACAAATCATAAGAGTTTGAGATATCTCATGGATCAGCCGAATCTGAAAATGAGAAAGCATAGGTGGCTTGATGTAGTCAAGGATTATAACTACGTGATTTTGTACCACTCGGGAAAAGTGAATGTGGTCGATGATGCTTTGAGCCGCAAGTCGGTTAATTGCTTGGTTAGGAGTTTATGTATGAGGATTTTGATTGATTCATCATTGTTGGATTTGATCAGAGAGGCTCATGTTGATAGAATCAAGAAAGAGAATTGGAAATAGGAGCGAATCAGGGGTGAGATCGACAAGTTTTCTACCGACAATCGTGGATTGTTAACCTAGTGCGGTGGGGTTTGGGTACTAGATTTCGGTGGGATTAGGCAGACCATGTTGGAGGAGGCACTCAAGTCCGGATTTTCGATTCACCCTATGGTCACCAAGAAGTATCGGGATTTGCAACTTAGTTATTGGTGACCATGCATGATGAAGGAGATAGTTTGGTATGTCGAGAGGTGCTTGACATATGGGATGGTCAACACCGAGCCCCAGAGGCCGCATGGAAAGCTTCAGCCTTTGAAGGTTCCCATGTGGAAATGGGAACATATCACCATGTATTTCATCACTAAGTTACCCCAAACGGCTAAGGGGTTTGATGCAATTTGGGTGATAGTAGACCGTTTGACTAAGGGTGTCCACTTCTTAGCTATTCGGCCGAGAAATTAGTTGATGTGTATGTGCATGAGATTATTGCCCAACATGGTATCCTAGTTTTTATTGTATCACGTTGGGATGTTCGGTTCACTTCACGGTTTTGGCAGAGGTTCCACGGGGAACTAGGTATGAGGTTGCACTTTAGCACTACTTATCATCTGCAAATCGATAGTCAGAGTGAGAGGACCATTCAGACACTCGACAATATGTTGCGAGCCTATGTGATCAATTTTGGTGGGATTTGGGATTCCTATATCCCCTTAACTGAGTTTTCTTACAACAACAACTATCACTCCAGTATCGATGCGTCACCATTCGAGCTTCTCTATGGGAGGAAGTGTTGCACCCTAGTCTGTTGGGGAGAGGTTGGTCACAGAGTCATGGGAAAAACCAAATTTGTTCTTCAGATAACAAAGCTTACTCAGCAGATCATATAGAGTTTGCAGACAGCTTAGAGTCGACAGAAGTGTTATGTTGATAGGCGCTGGTCGGAGTTGGAGTTCAATGTCGGTGATATGGTACTACTGAAGGTATCACCCTGGAAGGGTGTGATACGCTTCGGGAAGAGGGTGAAGTTGGGGCCCCAGTAGATTGGGTTGTTTTGAGTGTTTTCTAGGGTTGGCAGGGTGGCTTATTGTGACATCCCCATTTTCACGGCCAGAAAAGACCGATTTTGTTTATGCTTTATAAAAACCAGAGTACCTCTTTTAATAAAAATGTTGCAGAATTTGTTCCCAGTAAAACATGATAAATACGTTATCAAAGCATTTCTGAAGAAAGTATTTTTATTCATTTTAAAACAATTGGGATGTCATCGTCAATATAGAAACATAAGCATAAGCAGAACTTATAATCATTATCACTAGTGATCTATATCTCCTTAATCTCTCAGTGTAATATGAGTTCATATCAACACCTGTGATATAAATAAACTGAGTGGGTCAGGTTGGGAAACCTGGTGAGTACAGAGGGTTTTCAACCCACAATAATATAATTATTATGTTTAATCGTCAAACAGTTAATCCAATTACCCATCCCCATTATCTTCTTTACTCTTAAGGGAAGAATCATCTACTCCTCGATAATTCAATCCTAAGGAATCGACACGAAATCCATCGTTTCCAAGGTTTACTCAACAGACACTAAATCCATAGCTGCCAAGAGTATTTTGTTTATCGACAATATCCATTCACAATACATGTCAATGGGTTTTTTTTAGAGTACACCGGTGAACACATCGTTCACAACACCTATAGGTTGCGAGCCTGCTAGTGTTCCACTGGACTGTCTAGAATAGTCTGTGGTTGTCATCCATACTCTGCTGAATGACGGGGCCATCATTTGGGAAAAAGGCTTCTCACATCGTCCACCTCTCACCCTCACCT